TGCTGGATTGCAAATGCTCCATAAATGTGGTGTTGCTTATTGTTAGTAGTTACAGCGGTATAACAAATTAGTCTGAGCCAGACTTCCATCACTTCTGGAACATTCCCACCTGAAACCATCCCCTTCCTCCCTCTGGTTCAGCCTACGTTCCATTCTGACCCTGATCCCTGGTGTCTGATTCCCTTGGGTCTCTTATTCTCTTTCCTGCTCGGTGGCCCACCCTGCATGAGTTAACGCAGTTACAGGTTTGGGGTGCACATCTCAGCTGTGCCCCGAATGGCTTTGCATTCCTTTCACTGGCCTCTCACATTCCTTCTGTCTCTCCACTAAGCCTCACTGTCTCCGTAAGCCCCTCTTCTGCCCTGGCCCCTCTAGTTCTCAAGAGATGCCATCTCTCATCTTCAGGCATCTGTTCGCTCACCTTCCCTCCATCCACGTAAAGAACAAACTCATGGACACCCTGCCTCAGGACGAAGTATCTTTTTTCCTATTCAAGTTTTTAATCCGTCTCCTTTTTGCTCCTTGGCTTCTGCATGGAAATAAACACTTTGGTTTCAGCCACTTTAAAAAAATTCAAAAGTCCAAATAAAAATTTCTTCCCTTCACGCTGAAAGTGAACTCCCTTACCCTTAATGCCCAATTTGGGCTTCTAGAAAGAGCAAACTGAGCTGTTTCTGCTCTTCAACCCAGGGAATCTAGCCTCGCCTTCTGGTCTATGAAAAACTGGTCCCTCCAAGGCCACAAAGATCTCCTGCCAACCGTGTTTTCCTTCCTATTTTATTTTATTTATTTTTTCATTTTATGTATGATGTATGTATGTATTTTAGGATTTTAAAGATTATTTGAGGATTTTAAGTTACTTCAGGAAACTATGGGGAAACAGAAAGGGAGCAAAGTGCAATAAGGGGAAAGTTAAAAAAATTCCAAGTTACTTCCTGATTCAGCAACTAAAGGCTGTCCGTGTGTTCTTTGGAACTTCTATGTGGCCCAATTTGTCTTGAGTTTTTCTCAATTCTCTTTCTAAAGATTCTTCTTAGGGTGTTTCTCTCTTTCTTTTCTTTATTTTTTTTTTTAATTGTGATAAGAACACTTAACATGAGAATTGCCCTCTTAACAAATTTTTAAGTGCACAATACGGTATTGTTAACTGAGGGCACAATGCTGTACAGCAAATATCTGGAACTTATTCATCTTGCATAACTGAAACTTTATCTCCGTTGAGTGGCAACTACCTGCCCCCCCCCCTCCGCCCCACCAAAGCTGGCTCCTGGCAACCACCATTCTACTCTCTTTCTACGAACTTGACTATTTTAGATGCCTCATGTAAGTGGAATCATGTAGTATTTGTCTTTCTGTGACTGGCTTATTTCACCTGGCATAATGTCTTCCAGGTCCATCTTTGTTGTCCTTTATGGCAGGACTTCCTCCTTTTTTAAAGCTGAATGGGATTCGATTGTATGTATATGTCACATTTCTTTATCCTCTCAACCATCAGCGAACATTTAGGTTGTTCCCATGTCTTGGCTATTGTAAATAATGCTGCGGAGAACATGGGAGTGCAGCTATCTCTTCAAGATCCTGATTTCATTCCTTTTGGATAGATACCCAGAAATGGAATTGCTGCATCATTTGGTAGCTCTATTTTTGTTTTTCTGAGGAAGCTCTATACTGTTTTCCATAGTGGATGTACCATTTTATGTTTCCTTCCTATTTTAGCTCCTCTCTCTTGAAGCATCTGACCTAGCTGACTGCTGATTCCTTCTGGAAACTTCTTCTCTGTTCTAAGGTAGAACCCTGCCTTCTCTTCCTTCCTCAGGTCCTCATGGAGTAGATCCAGTTGCTCAATGGATATTTCCATCTGGATGTCTCCGTGCTTACCTTTATCACTACGTGTTCAAAACCGAACATGTGCCGTTGTCTTCTCCATGCAATTATATTAGCTAGGGCCCCTGAAACAAAGTACCACAAACTGGGTGACTTAAAAAGGAGAGATTTATTGTCTCACTGTTCTGTAGGCTAGAAGTCCAAGATCAGGATCAGCAGGGTTTCTTCTCCTGAGGGCTGTGAGAAAGAATCTGTTCAGTGCTTCTCTTCTAGATTCTGATGGTTCGCTGGCAATCTTTGATGTTCCTTGGCTTCTATAAAGCATCATCCTAATCTCTGCCTTTACCTTCACATGGTGTTTTTACTTTGTGCTTGTGTATCTCCAAATTTCCCTTTTTTTTTAAAGGACAGCAGCCATATGGGATTAGGGCCCACCCTAATGACTTCATTTTATACCTTTGTAAAGACCCTATGTCCTAATACAGTCACATTCTGAGGTACTTGGGGTTAGGACTTCAACATATGAATTGGGGGTGAGGCAAAATTCAACCCATAGCACCATGCAGACCTGATTTTTTTTCAGGTATTTCTCATCTCAATGAATGGCACCAATGTCCACCATGTTACTCAAGCAGAAACTTGGGAATCATCCTTATCAAATCACGTGCCTTTATATGAACCTAGCATCTAGAGCTTGTAGAACTTGGAGGCACAATTTTGGAATAGGAACCGTAGCATCCAACAGGTTTACAAAGGGATCTGTGACTCCCAAATGGCTGACAACCTCTGCTCTGTATCTTTTTTTTTTTTTTTAAGTGTCTACCGCCTTGGTACAAAAGTAATACATACATAAGAATTTTAGAAAACTACAGAAAAGCATAAAATTAATAATTATCCTATCATTCAGTTACCCAGAATCACTTATTATTTTGGTCATTTCTCGTACATTTTACGCCTTCATGCTTTTTTTTTTTTTTTTTACTAGTTGGAGCATACTGTATGTAAGATTTTGAATCCAACTTTTAAAAATTCAACACTGAATCATGTGTGTTCCCATATCTTCACAAAAGCTTCATAAATAGTTTTAAATTGGTGTGTGTTATTTCATCAAATGGATAGATAATGATTGACTTAGATATTTTATTACTATCGCATTATCAAATATGCAGGTCGTTGCTGTTTTTAGACTTTTATAAATAATGCTGTGACAACCTTTACTATTAATTTGGACTCAAATAAATATTTTTCTTCGGAATTCGGGTATGAGTCAGCAGGGGATAAAGAAAAAAGGTGGACACAGTGTCTCTAAGCAAATTATTAGCGTAAATTGAAGGAAAGCTAAGCCTACCGAAGTTAACAAATATCTTAGGCGTTAATTGTGAGTAGTTACTTTGTGATTTAAAAGTTATTCTTTTTTTTTTTTTTTTTTTTTTTTCCGTATGTGGGCCTCTCACTGTTGTGGCCTCTCCCATTGTGGAGCACAGGCTCCGGACGAGCAGGCTCAACGGCCATGGCTCACGGGCCCAGCCGCTCCACAGCATGTGGGATCCTCCCAGACCGGGGCACGAACCCGTATCCCCTGCATCGGCAGGCGGACTCTCAACCACTGCGCCACCAGGGAAGCCCCCTAAAAGTTATTCTTAATTAAATTGTTAAAGGTAGATCACAGTAGAGTCTCCAGTCAACATTTTGCTCTTCAGTGATTCTTTATAGTCTATAACAGGGTTGTACAATGATGGAAATGTGCTTCATCTGACCTGTCCAATATGGAAGCAATTAGCCACGTGTGAGTATTGAGCACTTGAAAAGTGGTTAGTCCAACTGAGGAACTGAATTTTAATTTTATTTATTTTTAATTGATTTAAATTTAAATAACTATTTGTGGCTAGTGGTTACCATATTGGATAGTGCAGTTCTATCAAGGTGATGACTAAACACTTTTATAGTGCTTATCTTTTCCTACATACCCTTTTAAGTGTTTTACATATTAATGTATTTAATCCTCACAATGACTTTAGGAAGTAGTCTTCCAGTTACTATTGCTATATAAAAAATTACCACAAAACTCAGTGGCTTGAAACAATAACAATCATTTATTTTGCCTGTGAATCTACAATTCGGGCAGGGTTCATCAGAAATGGCTCATCTTTGCTCCATGCAGCATCAACTGAGGTTATAGAGTCTACTTCTAAGATATCTCAATTACATAGCTGTCATGTTGATGACTATTACTGGTTTTTCTTCTTGGGGCAACTTGGGTTTCCTCACAGCATGGTGGCTGGCTTCCAAAAGCAAGTGTCCCAAGAGACAGGAAGTGGAAGCTGTCAGTTTCTTAAGGGCTGGGACTTAGAAACTGACGAAGTATCACTTCCAACATATTCTGTTGGTCAAAGCACAGACTATATCTTCAAGGGGAGGAGATCTGGGCCTCACCTCTCCGTGGGGGCAGTGCCAAAGAATTTGGGGACATGTCTTAAAGTCATCACAGAAAGGTACAATCATTTTGATTCTGTTTTACAGATGAGGAAACTGAGCATTTAGCAGTTAAAAAACTTGCCCAAGGTGACATGCCTAGAAAGTGGCCAAGTGGCCAAGCTGTTATTTATGCCAGGCAGTCTGACCTTTTTTTTTTTTCGCGGAGCACAGGTTCCGGACGCACAGGCTCAGCGGCCATGGCTCACGGGCCCAGCCGCTCCGCGGCATGTGGGATCTTCCCGGACCGGGGCACGAACCCTTGTGCCCTGCATCGGCAGGCGGACGCTCAACCACTGCGCCTCCAGGGAAGCCCTGAGTCTGTGCTCTTAACCACTAAGTAGTCTGCTGTGATACCACCTAGTGATGGTGTGTTTGCTCTGTGTGGACCCTTCACTGAAACTCTGTACATTCACTCCACGCTGTGTAGGTACTCTTTTAGATGAAGAAGCAGAGGCTGGTTTGGAGAGGATTAAAAAAAAATTACCCAGGGTGGGACCCAGGTTCTGAGTAGCAGGGACAGGATGGGAACTCAAGACTGTTTCAGCACAAGCCTGTGTGCCTGTCCTGTCAGACCTGCCAGTCTCTGCGTGGCCCGAGGTTTTGGAAGCAGACTGACATTTAACAGGAACATTTCCCAAGGTTGTCAGATTTTCCTTGTCCCCAGTGGACGTCTGATGCAGCTGTGCATGTTTCTTCCTCAGACAATGATGGCAGCCTCCCGTTACACTCCAGAACTGAGACGACGCCCTCGCCCACGAACAATGGAAATGGACACCCAGAATACATTGCGTACGCGCTTGTCCCTGTGTTCTTCATCATGGGTCTCTTCGGCGTCCTCATCTGCCACCTGCTTAAGAAGAAAGGCTATCGTTGTACAACAGAAGCTGAGCAAGACGTGAAAGAAGAAAAGGTTGAAAAGATAGGTAAATAACCTGGATTCTTTTTATGGGAATGTGAGTGCAGACGATTTTTTTTTTTTTTTCCTGTACGCGGGCCTCTCACTGTTGTGGCCTCTCCCATTGCGGAGCACAGGCTCCGGACGCGCAGGCTCAGCGGCCATGGCTCACGGGCCCAGCCGCTCCACGGCATGTGTGATCTTCCTGGACCGGGACGTGAACCCGCGTCCCCTGCATTGGCAGGCAGACTCTCAACCACTGTGCCACCAGGGAAACCCTTGATTGTTATAAGTGCAGTTAATCTTCAGTTCCAGGGTCAGTTTTTTCCCCTTTCCTTGAGGCCAATTCTCAGAATTGTGGCAGCTTATTTCGTGGCTACAGGCTGGTCATCATGTAGTTAACTTCTTCCACCTGGTGGGGCTTTCAGTGTCTACAAGACAGCTCGCAGGATATGGCTCAGAATATTATCTACAGCCCTTGAGAAGGAGCTAGAGGTCCTTGCTTTAGCTTGACTTTGCTTAGTGACTATTACTGTCTTGTCCTGCTTGACTGCTTTTCTCTGCTTCTGCATTTTCTCGCTTCTCTGATTAAACTTATTCTTTGGCTAAAGTTTTTCCACAGGCAAAAGGCAGGCAGAGGACGTGGGCGTATAGACCACAGGGCCCTGCTCCATTTCACTCTCTCCCCATCCCTTATGCCCTGGTAACCACACTCTATTTTTACAACTTTGGCTTTTTTAGTTTCCACATACAAGTGATAACATACAGTACTTGCCTTTTTCTGTGTGTGACTTATTTCACTAAGCATAATGTGCTTAAAGTCCATCTGTGTTGTCAAAAATGGCAGGATGGGGCTTCCCTGGTGGCGCAGTGGTTGAGAGTCCGCCTGCCGATGCAGGGGACACGGGTTCATGCCCCGGTCTGGGAGGATCCCACATGCCGCGGAGCGGCTGGGCCCGTGAGCCATGGCCGCTGAGCCTGCGCGTCTGGAGCCTGTGCTCCACAACGGGAGAGGCCACAACAGTGAGAGGCCCGCGTACCACCAAAAAAAAAAAAAAAAAAAAAAAAAGCAGGATGTCCTCCTTTCTCATGGCTGAATACTATTCCATTATATATATATATATATATCTCACATCTTCTTTATCCATTCATTCCTTGATGGGCAGTTAGGTTGTTTCCGTATCTTGGCTATTGTGAATAATTCTGCAGTAAACATGGGAGTGCATATAAATCTTCGAGATCCTGTTTTCATTTCCCTTGGGAATGGAATGACTGGATCATAGGGTACTTCTATTTTTAATTTTTTGAGGAACCTCCATATTGTTTTCCACAGTGGCTGCACCAGTTTACACTCCCACCAGCTGTGCAGAAGTGTTCCCTTTTCTCTGCGTTCTCGCCAACACTTGTACAAAATGATCCATCTTAAAGGCAGATGGTGTGGTGTAGTGTCACTGTAGATTTCACAGGAAGCACACCTAGAGTTATAAACCTTGCTTTCATTTATTAAATACCTACTAAATAATTTACTCTTATTTGCCTTGTGGCCTCGGGCAAGTTATATATGTTATATATGCTGCTATGTATAATTTAACTTAAATTTAATTTCATTAACTTAATACTAATTTAATTAAAATTTTAATTTAAGTGAGAACAGTAATCTCCACCTTGTAAGATTATTGTGAAATTTATAGAGAATATATATTTGGTGTTTGTCACACATGGCCACTCAGTAAATATTAACCCTTACTATTATTGAATTAGATTCCAATAAGAACAATGGGAAAACTGAATACGTCTCACCATTTTTGTGCTGTTACTTTTGCTGGGGGAGTTCTATCTTAAATCTACGAGGTTAGAGTCTATGTTTATTAAGTAAGAGGTTGTGTGAACATTGCAGTGAAAATATGGCAAGAGCTGGTGCTTTCGTATTGACTTCAGACCGTCTCAGCTTTTCCTCTTAAAGTGGAGTTGCTGGATTGTGTTTGGAAAACGCTGAGAGATGAGATCCTGTTTTCTCCACAGATGTACTTTCCAACCACCCTTTAGGGCCTTGGGGAGTAGTAGGTAACTCTCCTTATCCCTTTCAGCCTCTCAAAGGACAGTTTTTGCAGAAAGGTGACATTTGGAGTAGGTCAGCCTTCAAGCCGGCCCCAAGGGCAGAGTGCGGGAGCTTTTCTTCATTCCTTGCCAGCTTGTCGCCCTGTTGGTTTTTCCCACCCCCACTGACCTTTGAGCCAGAGAGAGAGCACGGTCCCAGGATGAGTCATGTTTGAGCTTATGAGCAAACCAAGGCTGAGTGTTTGTCAGCAGAAGGCGGGGCCTCCCCCTCCTCCTTCCTAGATGCTCTGTAGGTCGGCTTAGCCATTAGCATGTGCACTGTGCAACCAAACATGCGTATTCACGAGAGGAAGCAGCTTGGATGGAGAAGACCATTTTCCAGATACACGGGTAGGACACCGCACACCTTGATTCATTCTTTGCGAGCTAGGTCAACCCTCCCTCTTCCTTCCTGTGTTATGGAAGCAAATTATAAGGATCAGTTTCAGAGTGGAGATTTGATTTTTTTCTTCAAGGACTATCCCATGTGCAGAGTCTCTCAAAGTAAACTGAGTCTGTAGGCAATTAACTGCGACCAACATTTAGATCATTTGGAAGTACATTTAGAAGAAGAGTCTTGTAAAAACACAGACGAATAATTACACTTTATTTTTGCGGTACGCGGGCCCCTCACTGTTGTGGCCTCTCCCGTCGCGGAGCACAGGCTCCGGATGTGCAGGCTCAGCGGCCATGGCTCACGGGCCCAGCCGCTCCGCGGCACGTGGGATCTTCCCAGACCGGGGCACGAACCCATGTCCCCTGCATCGGCAGGTGGACTCTCAACCACTGCGCCACCAGGGAAGCCCAATAATTACCCAGTTTAAGAAATGAATTAATTTTCTAAATTTATATAGTACATCTGCAATTAAAATAAAATCCAAGAAGTTTTTCTTTTAACTGTCTTTTTTCTTTCCATTTCCCTTAAGGGTTTAACAAAACGATGAGAGAGAAATAATAGTTGTAACGACTGATATAGATACATGGAATTGTTGTCTTGGAAACTGAGTGTGTGTCTGGACTTGAGATCGATGGACAACTCTGATACTTTTTATGCCTCTTATGCCAGGGAGGTCACTGTGTGCTTTCAGTCAGGCAGCTTGGGGTTGAAGGAAGAAAGCAGAGCTCTTAGCACCATGGGGATCAGCTGAACTTTCTGGACACTGTTCAGAGAGGTCTTGGGCTCTAAGACTGCACGTCTCGTTGACCTGATGCAAGTGACCAATTGTAACTTGTCCTCCCCTCCCCTTTCTCTTTCAGAATTGAACGACAGTGTAAATGAAAATAGTGACACCGTTGGGCAAATTGTCCACTACATCATGAAAAACGAAGGTATGGTTGTTTTAGTGTCCAGAACAATTCAGTATTCATATGTTTTATTAAAAACCTGCTTCAAAGAGTCATGATTTGTATGGATTGTCCTGTCAATGTTTCTGAAGTTATTGACAACTTTTACCTAAGCTCACAAATAGCTCAGCTTCCAGCATTATCTGACCCGGAGAGTTTCACAGAAGTGTTTTCTAAGAGTCAGTCATTGTAGAGTCAGCCCCGGAGGCTTACCTTTCATTCCTGGCCTCACCTCGATTTGGGGAAAGTCATATTACATCATGGAGCCTCACTTTCCTCCTCTAAAATAATATTTACCGCATAGCATTGTTTTGACATATTGCACATAAAGTGCTTGTATAATAAGCACTCAAATATTATCTATGCCTTATTTTGTGCTTTTAAACATATTGTCGTAAAATACACATAACATAAAATGTACCGTTATACCCATTTTAAAATGGACAATTCATTGGCCTTAAGTACGTTCACAATAATGTACAGCCATCACCACTATCTAGCTCCAGAACGTTTTCATCATCCCAAACTCTGTACCCACTAAGCAGTCACTCCCCATTCTCCATCCCCTTTCCCTCCATCCTCTGGCAACCCCTCCTCTGCTTTCTGTCTCCATGGATTTGCCCATTCTGTGATCTATTCTTAAGTGTTAAAACTTTTAAAAAGTCTAACCTTTATGGCTTTAAGCACTTTTTTCCCCTCTGAAATGTATTCTAAACCCCCATCTTCCTAATCTTCCCCATCTTCCTAAACTAATCAGGATTAGTTTAATCTTGATTAGATAAATCAGGGTCACTGTTTAGAAGGTCATTGTCTCCATAAGATTCCACACCCTGAGTGACTTTTGAGGTGTGTGGCACTCCTACCCACATACCTGTGAACTAAAAATGTCACCTGTCATGTTAGTAAACAAAGGATGTTGCAGCCATCAAGCCATCACATCTGCCCCAGCCGTGTACCCTGAGGAGACTCAGGGTGCACAGGATACTGGCCCCAGAGGGCTGAGGTGCATATCAAAAGAATGACTTCAGTGAACCCAGACTCTTGCATCTTCCCATACATAGAAAAGAACTACATTCCTTAGCTCGAGATGTCTGGTTTTCTTTAATTAATAGTCATCTTTTGATGTTCCGACTACCTAGTCTTTGTTGCAAAAACCCCTGTGTATCCTGGGGTTGCCTCTCCAGAGCACTCCCTCAGAGCTGTCTGAGACGCTGTGTCCCGGCCTTAGGTCCTCACATTTGTCCACTGAATAAAACATAACCTCTCAACTTTTAGGTCGTGCATTATTTTCAGTCGACATATCCAGTATCCGCAGATCCCCATACTTTGAATTCTCATGAGAATTTAAAAGAAAATGTTGTCCTTGGGCTCTGTCTGTGCCCTGGTCAGTGCTGACACATGCAGCATGCACTGCTGCACCAGAGCCATTTGTCCAAAAGTAGAAATACCTCCGTGCTGCTCAGTAAATACATGCTCTTCCATCCCCAGCCGCTCCCCGGGGATCCTCTGCCCCTATATCCTCACTATCAACTGGAGCACCTGCCTGGCCCGGGCTGCTGGTCAGTTTTTCTGACTAAGAGAAGCAGCAATTTCACATGATTCAGCATAATTTTCATTGTTTCTACAGAGTGGACTTTACGTATTTGGCATAGATCTAGGTGCATTATGTGCATAATCTAATCCTCAAAATATTCCTCTGGAGTTGATATTATTAAACCCATTCTACAGATGAAGAAAGGAATACTCCAAGTGGTTGGTCACATGGTTAAGGAGCAGCCTGGCCCTACCTGGGTCTCTTTCATCTATACAACATTGCCTCGACTCTCTTCTACTTTGTAGCTTTCAGTTTCTATGGGATGGAAAACCAGATAGCCAAACTTAATAATATGGTGTTTAAAATAACAAGACAGCAATCACTTGAATTTGATGTCTGTTTTCTAAAGACCTTCATTCAGGGAACAGTATTTGGTGATGCTATCCTTGAGGACTCAGTGGTGCATATTTCTTTCACATAAAAAAAGTGGATTTTAATTTGCATAAGAAATACACAAATACGTTCTTGGCATAGAATCTCCAGCCATGACAAAAGTGCACTGGGTAAGGTTGCTCCTGTACCTTGTGCTTTGGAAACTGCCTTCAGGGCTTTGGGGAGCTTGGAGGCATTTGGGACCTGGGCTTCTGAGAGCTGGAGCGGTCGCTGAGTTAGTGAGTGCTGCATGAGGGAGTTACTGACAGGTGAACTGGTTGAAATAAGTCAGCTGTGAAAACTTTGCCGGGGGCTGCAGTTCTCGTGTAAAACTTCATGGTAGACACTGAGCGCTTGCTATGCACCAGGCTCGTTCTAGGGGCTTTCTGGGAACCCTGTGATTCAGATACTTCGTTCCCAATTTATAGTTGAGAAACTGAGGCCCACAGCACTTAACTAACTTGCGAATGTCACCCTGCTGCAAGTAGCAGAGCTGAGATTTGAACTCTAGCATCTGACGTCAGAGTCTATACTTACCCACGTGCTGTCACTGCCTCTGTCCTGGTAGCAGGAAAGACGGATGATAAACTTCCTCCTTTCAAAGAGACAACGTATACAGCTGGGGTGTTTTATAGAAATCTTAAACATTAACTCATTAAATTCTCCAAACTACCTTATGAGGTAGATCCTGTTATCACCCCATTTTGCAGATGAAGAAACAGAGGCCCAGAGGGTAAGAAAGTTACCCAAGGTCACACAGCCAGCATGTGGAAGGACGGTGCCAGCAGTGGGCCCCTTCTCCTAATTACAGCAGACGAGAAGCCTTTGGGTCCTTGGAGCAAGCAGACTATATATATAATTTCCTCACCTTCCACACTCATAGACTATAGGGCTGTTCTTTTCTTTTTTAATTATGTCCTTTTCCTTTCAGAAAGTAGCCTTTTGGTTTCTGCTGCCTTGATTACCAGTAGGTATGTTGGAATAATACCAAGGCACTGATTTTATTCTTTCTCCTCTGCTCCCCAGTTCTTTCCCTTCTGTCTTTCTTATTCTTTACCCTCTTCCCTGTCAGGGCCTTCATCTGTCTGCCTGTGATTTCTCCAGTGACCTGTGAGGAAGGCTGGGGGCTCTGATCCTTTGTGTGGCCTTGGTTCTCCTTGGCCACCAGGAGACATCTGATCTCACTGGACACCCCTTTTCCAGCCGTGGCCCTCTCTAGCTTCCAGCCTCTGCCAAAACAGCAGCTGGGGGATTAGATACATACTTGGGTCTCTTACCAGTTGATAACCTAGCTTTTTTAGAGACTTAATTTCTCTATAGAACAAAATGTATTTTTTTTTTTTTTTGCCTTTGAGACTTAAATTCTCTACAGAACAAAATGTATTTTTCTTTTCTTTGTCATTAACAGACTCTGAACTTAATATCAATTAAGACCTCCCTGTTGAGGTTAATTTAACTATTTAAAAAAAATTATCAGCACACTATAACATAATTTTTCTTTAAACATTGAAGAAAGAAGGAATAAAATTGAGTACAAACCATTACCATTTTTCCATTTTTATTTATGTTTTCTTTGCCTGTATTTACATATTTCAAAACATTTGCAGTCATGATATATGACTCGTCTTCTGCTTTGCATTTTTAATTTGGCTAATGGGATAATATTTCACCTGTACTCATGGTGACATTCTTGTTTATGGTTTAAACCTATCATGTCTTGAATGTTGCAAATCAAGTCTTGTTTAGATAAATATCTCTTGAAGGATGAATTTATTGGCTGGCCTGCAGACTGATTATTTCCCCCCTAATTCCTAATCCTTTCTAAATAGAGCTGAATTGAAGAGCGTTTGGGTGGCCACTGTATGGAAGTTTGGAAAGTACCTGCAACTCCGTAGCTGAGCTTCTCTGCCAGGCCCTGACACTGTCTGAAAATAACAACAATTCAGAGCATTGTGATTACTCTCCAAGCGCCCTGGTTATGGTTATTCACCCTAGGCAGAGAGAGGGATCCCTTGGTGAAATTCTTACCTTGGGGCTCAATTTGTGTGGTGGCAAAAAGAATTCCTTCATAAACTACCATCATTACTGAGTAGATCTCTGAAACTTGCTATAATGGTTATGCAGATATCCTGTGAACTGTTAAACTACTCATCATTTAGATAGAGACTTGGACATTGAAGGAGTAGGTTGGGGTGAAAAGCACCCACCCCAGAATCAGATAGACCAGGGTTTGAATCTAGGTCTGTTTCTAGCTCTGTTTCTAGCTGTGGGACTCTGGCCAGTCAGTTACAGTCTTTAGGCCTCAGTGTCTATCTTTAAAATGGGGATGATAATTTTGCCTGCTCTTGGGGAGAATCAAACGATGGGGTCTGTAAAGCTTTTAGCCAGTGACTGGCACATACCAGGATCTTGCCTTGAATGTAAGGGAAAACTTCGAAAAGAGTGATAGTGGGAGAGAAGACAAGGCATTTTTCTTGTCTGATTTTGACTGGTCTATTGCATATTATCAGGCAGAAATTCAGGAAAGAAGAGAGGAAGCCGTTTCTGGAAATTACTGCCCGCTGGAAAATTTCCCCTGTTCTGACAGGCTTTGCTTGCCCTATAATTGACTCCTCCCATCCTTTGGTTGCCCATGAAGGGAAGTATAGTTGGACAGAATGTTGACAACTGTAGGGGAAACCATCTTTTGCAACTTTTTGGAGTTATGAGTAATCACAAGGAGGAGAAATATATTCATTAGAACTTAATTGGATTATTGCTCTTTTACAGCCAAATTAAAGCATGTGTTTATGTGCTAATGGCGGTGTTCTGTTAGAGTTTTCTCATCACAGGAAACTAAAAATGTTCCCAAGGGTTAGTTTACTGAGATTTACTCCCTGGTATAGATTGCAGGGTAGACTAGAGACAAGGACGTATGTGCGTGTGCTATGTGTGTGTTGGTCTCACACATCCACCCTCAATGGGTATGAATGATCAAAACCTGAGTCTACTCTTAAAGCATCACTCATAGCAAACAAAAGGGTTGTTTACTATTGTTTCTAAGAAATAAGGGCAAGATACAGGAATACATGAATATATGAGAAACAACACAAGCCCATAAAAACAAGTTTTAGTAATGATTTTAGTATACTTTCATAATCTCTCTGGCAGCATTTTATTGTCTGATGTTTCTAACAGAGGTCATCATTTTGATTAATTAATTTTCTCAGGTGACTATTTAAACTTCTGTTTTTGAAAAGCTCATTCTTATAAGTGAATGCTATTGGTGTTATCTTTGTTTTTATACCTTTTTTGTTGTTATTTTTCCCTCTTTTCTGTTTATAGTTTTGAAGTTTAGTAAATGATGGCAGAATATAAATCTCAACTGGCAAATTACTGTATATTCCCTAAACTCTTTATCTGAAAGAAAATTATTGTTCTGAATTCTTCGTATTAGTTAAAGGGAAAATGATTAGACTGTACTTAAATTTGTCTTACAGAGGGTAATGTGCCTTTTTTGTCACGTGGGAAAAGATACTGCTGATCCATTTCAGCACTTTTTTTGTAATGATAAGAGTCTTATTTAGATCAAAACTTGTGTTTGGATATGCATTTGTGCATCTTCACAGATAGTCATGAAAAGCAAAGAAAATATTTCTTTTTGAAAAGGATGGTATGCTCCATCGATATGTCTTCAGAAACCCCATACATTTGCAAGGGTTGTGAAGGGGAGAAAATTAGATTTTAGGGGGCAAAACCCCCTTACTATTTTATATGTAAAACACAGATATGCGTATAGTACATAAACGTGTATATCTGCAGTATTATGGTTTCATGGGAGGGTGATTAGGAAAAAAATGTCAAAAAAAGGCTTCTGGGTGGAGCAATAATGAAAAAAAGTTGAAACACTGGATACATCCTTAGCTATTAGCACTTAAAAGCAGCAGTGTTGAAAACAGAGTTAATTTTCCTCCTCTCGGATGTCATCTGAGATGATAAATGCTGGTGTTAGCTCACATGATAAATAGTGATTTTTTAATTGTTTCATTGTCTCTGGGGAATTTGTTGTGTTTAGTCCTGAGGACAGTGCTTTAAAAATCAATGGGAATGTGTCAGGAGTCGGTTAATAACATCTGGCCTTGCCAGGAAATACCCAAGAGAAACTTGACCATTCACTTCAGTCTTTTATCCTTAAGACTTGTCACCCTACAAAAGACGAAAAGAACATGTGTGTCTGTGCATGGCGGTGGGGTAGGCACCCAAGAAGCTTAGATTCGATTTGCTTTAGTGGACAGCCTAGGCACCCGCTACAAATTTGTATTTTTTTTAAAAAAAGTTAACATTAGAAGTCTAATTTAACTGATGGGTGTGACCAACATTTGAAATTTAAAGCTATCTGGCTAGAGTTAAGGTCTTGTATGGTCTGAATGGCCCACCTAGAAAATTAATCCTTTCTCATCCCTGATTCTATGTGGGATAGACTTGATACTACATGGGTATCCAGAATTTAGGGCTAATTCGTTGAGCATGTATAAGTTATTAAAATACAGGTCTCTTGAGACATACATTTTATGACATATTTAGCAAAGTGAGTTAAATTCAGTTTCCTTTTGGTTTGAGAAGGGGAGAAAGATATGTCTTCTATGTTATATTGCTAATGACGTGTAGGAAACAAAGTTCTGTAGTAGATCTGCTTTCCTTTGCATAGATTCTCTGTCACTCTCACTAAATTCCTGCGTGGTGAAAAGTATTGGCAGATGGTGCCACATCTGGGTTTTTTTTGGGAAAGATCCTCCCTTCTCCAGGGCCCCAGGGCCTCATTTGTGAACTGAAGGAAATCAATTAGGTGTTTTCCAAACAGTTTTTCTGATATGATAATTCTGTGATCACTCATCTGATTGATTCCATTTTAATTCTTTTAAAAAATTAATTAATTAATTAGTTTTTGGCTGTGTTGGGTCTTCGTTGCTGCAAGCGGGCTTTCTCTAGTTGCGGTGAGCAGGGGCTACTCTTTGTTGTGGTGCGTGGGCTTCTCATTGCGGTGGCTTCTCTTGTTGTGGGGCACGTGCTCTAGGCATGCGAGCTTCAGTAGTTGTGGCACACGGGCTTCAGTAATTGTGGCTTGCGGGCTCTAGAGCGCAGGCTCAGTAGTTGTGGCTCACGGGCTTAGCTGCTCCGTGGCATGTGGGATCTTCCCGGACCAGGGCTCGAACCCATGTCCCCTGCATTGGCAGGCGGATTCTTAACCACTGCGCAACCAGGGAAGTCCCCCATTTTAATTCTTGACCTTCTTTTTTTTTTTCCTTAGCAAATGCTGATGTTTTAAAGGCAATGGTAGCAGATAACAACCTGTGTGATCCTGAAAGGTGAGTGCTTTTTCCCTGATTTTATGGGGCTTTCGTTTTCAGTTATCCGCTAGAGCAGGTTTCTGTACTTTGGCACTATTGACATTTAGGTCAGGGAATTCTTTGCTGTGAGGAACTGTCCTGTGCATTGTCGGACATTTAACAGCATTCCTGGCCTCCACTTACTGGATGCCATTGTCCCTTTCTCCTGCTGTGTGACATCCCAGAACCAATGCCTCCACACATTGTCAATGTACCCTGGGGACGAAGTCACCCCTGGCTGAGAACATCTGCGTTAGAGAACAGTGACGAGAGGGAAGGGTAGCCCTGGAGCTGGGGACCTGGGTGAGTCTTACCTCCACCACTTCTGGATCCCGTCTTCTCGGGCAAGTTAACCGACCACCCTGAGCTCAAGTTCCATCATCTATAAACTGAAGATAACCACTGTACCAACTTAATTGGAATATTATGAGGAATACCGAATACCTCGGGCATCGAAAGACCTCTATGAACAATGATGATTAAACGAAAAACCAGGCTGGTTTGGGGGCACCTGCTAAGTTCTGTTCTTGTATTACCAGTTTTAGGTTATGGTGGTTGAGTATCATAGTCCTTCCTAATTAATTACAGGTAACTGTATTTCTATGTAATTTTTCATGCTTCATGGAGCATTTATTGAGTGCCTGCTGTGTGCTGGGCATGATGCTGGAGGCGGGCCTTCACAGATCCTTGCCCTGGAGGACGAAATCTAGTGGGGAGTGGAGACAAGAAGCAGGGTCTGCTTGTAGGCAGAGAAAGTCCAGGACAAAAGGCCCGGGAGAGTGAAAGTGTGGGATGCCTCCGGTAAGGTTCAGTCTGGGGTGGCCCGACTACATGCTATGGACAGAAGCAAGAAGGGCCAGGAAGGCAAGTTGGGTTTGAGTGACATGGCAAGGAATTTGGACCTTTTCCTGCTTACTCTGTGGGTGGTACACCCAGCGCATCTTGGCTATTTCATACATGTTTGTCAAACTGGCCACGTTAGATCTGCATTTTAGCGAGGTGACTTAGTGCCAGAAGGCCAGTGAAAGGAGCTCTGGTGGTGTAGTTTATAGAGACATACGAGCTGTGGTTTCCGCCACACTCCAGCCCTGACCACAGACTCCTTGTGTTAGGACCATGTCACCTCATCGAATCTTTGCCTCAGTCGTCTTAGGGCATCCTATAGTCCCTGTCATTGGGTTTTGTGTGCAGCGTGTACTAGATAAACGTTTGTTGAATGAATGTTGTTGAACTTTCACATTCAACCTCCTAATATGTGTTGTGAACACTTGTTTACCTCAGAAAGCTGCGGTTGTGTGTTTTTATTTTAACAAGCTAAAGAGCATTCCTAACGAACACCAGGAAACTTTTGGCTGTCTGTGGTGTTTGCGACTATCTCTTCGATCAGGCACTTTTTTGTCTACTTTTGAAGTGGGCAAGTGGGCTGGTTATCAGCAGCATAAAGGCTGGCTTATGCTGTCATAAGACTTCTATATGCCTTTTGGGCTCTCAGCCCAGTCTCAGGAGTCAGGCTCTGCTGTTATGTGCTGCCCTGCCCACCCCACCTACACCAGGTCAGAGGGCTGATTCCTGGTTGGGCTGGCCCTGTCCTGTCTTATTTCCTCCTTTCCTAGTGGACCAGAGCCTTGACACGTGCCTTTTGAAAGCAGCCAGCATCTGACCTATATATACTTCTGCCTTTTATATTTTGGATGGTATGGCTGGGTTTCTTCCAGGTTATCAGAGTGATCTCCCCTGTTTCTGAAGCACTGTAGCATGATGGTTAGGATCATGGTTTCTAGATTTAGTCTTTCTAGATTTGGATCTCAGCTGTCACTTACTAGCTGTGTGACCTTGGGTAAGTTACTTAACTGCTCTGAGGCTCAGTGTCCTCGTTTTTAAAACGAGGAAACTAATAATACCTACCTCAAGGTTTTGTAAAGATCAATGGAATTAATATATATCAAGTGCGTAGACTGCTAAGTGTTAGCTATTTTTATTATTACTATGATCAACATCTGTCTTGAGCATCACTTTTGATGCCTTGACCTAAAAGCTTTCTTCCTTTGACACAATAGTCAGATTGGATCAAATATTCTATCTTAAGTCATCCGATAATTTGATTAGAATTTAAGTTTTTCTCTCCTCCAGGTCACATATATTCGGGACATCTCTTTGCTTAGAGATCTAGGAGGAACTTGGGTATGTGTGAGAAATTAGTTTACTTGAAATTAGACTGCATGCAAAGGGAGATCAGCCATTTGGAAAGAGACCTAATACTTGAAAGACAAACAGTGCATCATCATTAGAAGCAGTGGTTTATTTCCGGCCATTTAATTCCATACTGGAAGTGATAAATCACATTGTTACTGTTTAAAACGAACTGTCATTGTATAGTTATAATAGCTGAGTACCTGCTGCCTGAGATCAGTTCACAAAGCCCATTTGTATAATTGGAAGAGGCATTTTTTTTTCTTTTGATTTAAACCTGCTTCTTATATTGCAGGAGGAGAGAATGCCTTAGCTGGTATTTCTTTTAATAACCAGTTCGACCTTTTCCTTTTTTTTTTCTTTTCCCACCTTAGCCCGGCGACCCCTAGCACTCCTGGGAGCCCGCCTGTGAGCCCCGGGCCCTTGTCGCCAGGTGGCACCCCAGGGAAGCACATCTGCGGCCACCATCTGCACACAGTGGGTGGTGCTGTCGAGCGGGACGTGTGTCATCGATGTAGGCACAAGCGATGGCACTTCATAAAACCCACCAACAAGGCCAAAGAGGGCCGCTCAAGGCGCCAAGGAGAAGTTACTGTCCTCTCTGTGGGCAGGTGAGTCCTGGGGGTGCTTTGGGTTTGTGTAACACAGTTGCTGCGCTGTGTGGATTTGTACACCCGTTAAATGTAGAGTGTGTTCTCCTGAGCCTGGCTCAGGTCCTATCTCTGGGCTTCTTTGATGTTTTCTGGTCTGAGTCCTGCATTTTTCCAACAGTAGAAGAATTCTACGAGGTGGCTATTGCAAGATCAGGTGTGACTTGTATTAATTAAGGTAACAAATTAATTACTTGCTGTATTAGGGTTCTACAGAGAAGCAGACTCAATAAGATATATATATACACACAGACACACATGTAAGAGGAGATTTATTATGGGAATTAGCTCACATGATTACGGAGGCCAAGAAGACAGGAAAGCTGGTGGTAATTCAGTCCAAGTCCAAAGGCCTGAGAACCAGGGGAGCCGGTGGTATTAGTCCTGGTCCCAGTCTGAAGGCCTAGAAACCAGGAATGCTCATGTCTTATGGCCAAAGAAGAGGGATGTGTCAGCTCAAGTAAAAAGAGCAAATTCAGTCTCCCTTTGCCTTTTAGTTCTGTTCAGGCCCCCAAGGGATTGGATGATGCCCATTCTCATTGGTGAGGGTGATCTTTACTCAATCTACCAATTCAAAGGCTAATCTCTTCTGCAAACGTCCTCACAGACACACCCAGAAATAATGTTTTACCAACTCTCTGGGCAGCTCTTAGCCTGGTCAAGTTGACTCATAAAATTAACCATCACACTTGCTCTAATAGATAAAGCCCAAATCTCAACTGTTAGAGAATGTAAATTTGTATTTCACTTGTGGAAATCGAAATCAGTGGTGACTCTTCAAGCAGTCACCCAGAGCCCTGGGTCCTTTCCATCTTGTGCCTCTGATGGATTTGCTAGCAGGAGAAAGTATGCAGAGCATTGTTCACAAGAGGTTTTTCAGGAGATGGGCCTGAAGTGGCACATTTCAGTCTTGCTCACATTCCTCTGGCTGGAACTCAATCACTCGGCCACATTTAATGGCCAGGGAGGTAGGTAACGTCGGCCAGGAAGAAGGGAAGAGATGGAGCCTGGTCCACTGCTCTCCAGCCTCTGCCGTGTAAGATCCACGTGGACCCCTGGGACTGCTCGCTTTTAGTTCACCTCCTCCTTTCCCAGTCCTAAAATTCCATTTACCTGTGACCCATATGTGATGTGGAGATCTTGCAGTTCAAGTGATAAACAATTTGACGATACTGTATGCAGAGCATTTTTGGTTGATTTTGAGCCTCCTGCAGGAACTGCAAGGCTAATGCTGCATGGGCAAAGGCAGTAGAGAGTAATGGTCGAGAGCATGCCTGCTGGCACCAGACTGGGGAAGCCCTGAGCAAAAGCTGACAGTGTTGCCTACATGACCCTTCTCTCCTTACTGACAAACTGGGAAGAGTAGCCTGGACTCACTGAATCACCCTCATTTGACTCCTGACACCACTACTTACTAACTGTTACTTCTCTCTGTGCCTCAGTTTTCCCCTCTATAAAATGGGGATGACAGTAGCACTCACCTTATCAGGTTGCTGTGAAGACTAAATAAGGTGACTCAGGTAAAGGTCTTAGACCAGTTTTTGGTGCTTATTATATACTCAAGAATTGTTGGCTATTTTTATTACTGTTATTTGAATTCCATTGAGTTTCATCATGTGTTGCACAAGCAACAAGGAGAAGACTCCTTGGCTCTTTGCCACTTATAACAAAACAGTGCAACTCATGACCACACTGTTTTATTCAGAGCAGAGTCATGGGAACTTATGAATGTGGAATGTGGTGAGAACCTGTAACTTGTTTGGACAAAGTGTATTTTGTCTGCTTTAAAAAAAATCTGCTGAAACTTTCAACTCAGATTCAACATGGCTTTTTTAAATGCCCCCAATCCAACTCTCCGTCTTGGAGATAGAATAAATACTATGACAGCTGAGTGATTACAGGCTGCTTTTCAGCAAGTGTTGCTTAAAGAGAGTCTTAAAGTTTGACCGAATAGGTTTGTGGTGACAACTTTTTCCCGATCCTCCGTTCACTCCTTCAGAGTCTCCTTCCTCCTTCTGGTGGGTGAGCTCATTTTGGACAAAGAAGGAGAATTTATTTTAGATGGTTTTGAGGGAAATGAAGACCAAGACTAGAGAGAAACTGCTGTGAAAGATTTTAGGGTTTTGATGGTGATGGATGAGAAAAGCAGTCCAACTGAGTACATTTCTTTAACTTCTCTCTTAATTCTTAAGGAAAATCTCTTTCTTAAATTCCTTAACCCTTGATGAAAACCCAAATTTGCTTCAAAAACAAAAACAAAAAAACCCAGACAAAACCCAAGCAGACACAAAAACTCTGCCGCCCGACTGATGCTGATAAATGTGTGTCTGGGACCCTGTTTATAGAGGTAGACCCTCTGCTGGGTGAAATTTGAGAAGACAGTTCCCTAGTGAACATCAGATTTGCAAACTGGTCGGGCTTTTATCCAGCCTTCTGTTGTTAAAACAGCTGATGTTTAAGCCCAGGTCCTTGTTAGAAACCACAGCTCTGAGGCTGTTTCATATTTGAGTACCCGTGTTTCTCAGTGCATTTCCCATGCTCTGTAAACTGCAGCAGAGTCTGTGATGTGTTGAGTGAACATCAGCTGGGAGGTTTGGCAGGACGGTTCCTCCTGTTGAATATGGTGGTTTTCTTTTCCTTTTTTTTTTTTTTTGCGGTACACGGGCGTCTCACTGTTGTGGCCTCTCCCGTTGCGGAGCACAGGCTCCGGACGCGCAGGCTCAGCGGCCATGGCTCACAGGCCCAGCCGCTCCGCGGCATGTGGGATCTTCCCAGACCTGGGCACGAACCCATGTCCCCTGCATCGGCAGGCGGACTCTCAACCACTGCGCCACCAGGGAAGCCCTTCTTTTCCTTTTAAAAAAGTTTTTATTGAAGTATAGTTGATTTACAATGTCATGTTAATTTCAGGTGTACAGCACAGTGATTCAGCTATATATATATATTAATATAATATGTGTATATTAATACATATATATATTCTTTTTCAGATTCTTTTCCCTTATAGGTTGTTACAAAATATTGAGTATAGTTCCCTGTGCTATATAGTAGGTTCTTGTTGGTTATCTATTTTATATATAGTCGTGTGTATATGTGAATATGGTGATTTTCATTGCTGACCTAACTTTTGGCTGAGTTTGTTTGGGATCCTCCAGGTGGATGATTTTTAGTTCATTCATGATTCTTGTTCAGTGGAAAAGCAAAACCCGTCACATCTCCTCTTTCCCCCGCTCAGGTTTAGAGTTACGAAAGTGGAACACAAGTCAAATCAGAAGGAGCGGAGAAGTTTAATGTCAGTTAGTGGGACCGACAGCGTCAATGGGGAGGTGTCTATGACACCCCTGAAGAGGGAGCGAAGTGGCACAGAGTAGCAGGTAAGTTGAGGTTGTGGCGACATTGGGGGTGGGTGGTACATGGCAGGGAGAAGGTGCCCAGAGCCTCCCTAGGGTCTGTGGTAATACGGGAGTGACTTGGCAGGGAAAAAATGAGAAGTGCTTTCCTGGAGCTGGTAAAGCTGTAGGGGACGGAACACCATCACTTGTCTGCCCAGAGCTTTTTGTGAAGAGCCCGTCAACACAGGTGCCTCCAGGGACCTGGCCTGTATGATAATGAGTGGGGAGGATTACTTAGGAGGCACTGTGGAGTGGTGGGGACTGGAGCAAACTAGAAATCACATAACCCATCTGTTAGGGTTTGCATTACCACAAGGCAGGAAGCACTTAGTGTGGCTAGATCTTAGGCAAAAAAAGGTGGAAATCTAGACGTTTTTTTTTTTTTTGTGGTACACGGGCCTCTCACCGTTGTGGCCTCTCCCGTTGCGGAGCACAGGCTCCGGACGCGCAGGCTCAGCGGCCATGGCTCACGGGCCCAGCCACTCTGCGGCATGTGGGATCCTCCCGGACCGGGGCACGAACCCGTGTCCCCTGCATCGGCAGGCAGACTCTCAACCACTGCGCCACAAGGAAAGCCCCTACAGGTTAAATCAACAGGTTTTTAAATGTTGGCGGCTTGTTAAAAATCCTTTAAACGACCACGCAGGCCAAATGAAATATAATCTTGTCACCATTTCTAGGTAAACTGTGATTTGAAAAAGGCTTGAGCAAGCAAAGCAATGCTTTTTTCCTTTGAGTTGGAAACCAGTTTTCTTTGATGTGCCACAGTTCTAAAATACCCCCAGTAGAAGTATTACTCTTTCCACCAAATATTTTGAAGCAATTTAAAAGCAAACCTGAATGCTTCTTAGCTTGGCAGTTTTAACTTTGGGAGATATTACTTAAAAAAAAAAAAAAGCCTGTCATAATTTGATATTGGCTTAGCCTTCATCTTCTTTACTTTCTGTTCTGGCTTGAGTCCCATTCATCCTTTTCATGTTACTTATTATATGTAAAAGGATGAGTGTGAGGACTGAGGAGTGACCAGCTCCAAAGTCTCCAGTGGAAGGGTCAGAGCCTGAATGTTAAGGCAGAAGAGGTTCCACTTCCAAAGGGAGGGGGAGGTGGGGTAAGGGGGCGTGACTAGCCAGGTCCTAGAAGGTACAGGGAAACAGCAAGGTTGAACCTGAGCCTTGGAGTCAGGCTGCCTGGTTCAGGTCCCTGTTCCCCACTCACTAGCCCTGGGACCTGGACAAGGTGCTTGGGCTTTTTTATGCCTCACTTTCCTCACTGAGAAATAAAAATGATGCTGCCTGTCTTGAGGGATGGCAATGAGATATCAGGGAAATAACATGGGAAGCCCAGGGCCTGGCAGATAGGAAATGCCCAGCCAGTGCTACTGATAATTTTAAGTGGCCAGTTTGGTGGAGAAGGGGCTTTTGAGTGAAGCTTCTGATAACCTTCCCAGGCTCAGAGGGGTTGAGGATGATCCAGAAGTCATCTGGGGGCTTCCCTGGGGGCGCAGTTGTTGAGAGTCCACCTGCCGATGCAGGGGACACGGGTTCGTGCCCCCGTCCGGGAAGATCCCACATGCCGCGGAGTGGCTGGGCCTGTGGGCCGTAGCCGCTGGGCCTGCGCGTCCGGAGCCTGTGCTCCTCAACGAGACAGGCCACAACAGTGAGAGGCCCGCGTACTGCAAAAACAAAAAAACAAAACAAAAAAAACCACAACAGAAGTCATCTGGAAGAGTTGTGCTCCTGAATTCTGTAAGACGTAGGGGCTCTGATAGCTTTCCAGCACTGGTTCTTGCCATTTTGCCCTTGGAAAGATCTGGCCCCTTCCCCTGAGTTGAGGAACCCAACAGAGGCTTTCTTTAAATAAGAGACATGGAGCAGAAAAGTCTGTCTTTGGCTTCTCAGTCAGTTACTGATGCCTTGGGAAGGGAACCAAGAGGAATTTAGGAAAAGGAAGAGGATGATGAAGATCATAAAAGCAGCTAATGTCAATTCAGTATTCTAGTCTTCTGGGTGTTGTACTGAGATGTATCTCACATGTCACCATTATAAACATCTCCTAATGGGATGGATACTATTACCCCAGCTTTATAGATGAGGAAACCAGTGCACGGAAAGGGTAAATTACATGTTATGGATCACATAACTGAAAAGAGGAGCTGATTTGAACTGAGGTCTGTGACTGTAAGACCAGCTGCTCTCTTCTGCCATCCTGAGGTGCTCATGAAGGGGCAGCCCTAGATCCATGAATGAGGAACATCTCCACCAATGATCTGGAACCTGGTGGTCTAATATGGTAGCCACTAGTCACCTGTGGCTACTTAAATTTAAATTAATTAAAATTAAAAGTTTCATTCTGCAATTGCACTAGTCAACATTTCAAGTGTTCAGTAGCCATAGATGACTAGGGTCTGCCAGATACTGTATCTGCACTGGACAGTGCAGATACAGAAAATTTCCATCATTGCAGAAAGTGTTACCAACAGAGTAGATGGTACCTTAGATGTTAGAATTGGAATCCTGAGTGACTTTGGTAAATTAGAGAAACATTCTGATTGAAGTCGTGAGGACTTGCCTTCTGGGATGAGAAGTATGTGGCTATTCAAGTCTAAGGTGAGGAAGGCCCAGCCAGTTTAGCTGCAAAGAAAGAGAAAGCATGAGTTGTAATGACAGTTCTGCATATGAGTCATCAACCCGGCAGGCAGTGTGTTGAGAGACAGAGCAGACGGTGGGTAAGAAGACACTGCTTGCCCTCGGTCAGGAAGTGCAAGGTGATCCTGGGTTAGGCTCAGCCAGATTCCAGCCTTGCTAAAGTGCCGTGCCAAGAGGGAGGCACTCAAGGTCTGGGAAGGTTAAAAGAATTAGGATTGCTCAGGTAGTCTTCTTGGTCCAAATTCTGTCCGTATCTGGATTTGATCCAGTCATCTGAAAATCCTGACCACATCTAACTGGTTTGCAACTTGATACTCTCTGCAAAGCACACAATCTTCTTACCGGGATTTTGTGAAAGAGCATTGGATTTGATTAGAAGACCTGGGCTCTCATCATAGCTTCGCCGCTTGGAAATTGTCCTTAACTGCCCTTACTCCAGGTTTCCTTGAATGTGAAATAGAATATTAAATCCATCGATTGAAGGTGAGTGCCAGGAGAGCATCTGGCATGTCATTGGCTCTCAGTGGTGCTGTGCCGTCCAAAGGTGCAACGAGCACATCAGTGACCTTAGAAAGGGGATGTGTTTTCCAAGCCTTCAACATAATAGTAATTAATTTTGGAATTAAAAAAATAATTTTTATTATGGAAAATTTCAAACAGACTCAAAAGTAGAGAGAATAATATCACAAATGCCGATGGACTAATTTAATTATAATACGTGCTGCGTATTGAGTATCTGCTATGTACCGGGCATGCTTTAGAAGGCATATTCCATGTATTAACTGATTTAATCCTCACAACAGCAATAAGTAGGTGCCAGTTTAAGCAGAGAGAGTTGAGGCAACTTGTTTAGAGTTACCAGCAAGAATATGGTAGAGTTTAGAGCCCAACCCAGGCAGTCTGGCTCCTGGAGTCCCAGACTTCACCACTCAGCCGGGTCCAAGGAAAAACAGGTCCTGTGGTTAGAGCCTGCTGAGGTTGGGACCTGCTGAGTGACGATGTCTGATGAGCCCAACAGAGAATGGACTCTTAGAAAGGAGGGAAAGGACTATTCACTGACACTCAAAAATATGTATGTACTTATGAAAAATTTTCTTGCTTGGTTTCTTAACATTTCTCATCCTCCAAAAGAGTATGTTTGGGCGATTTAATGTGACTTGATTTTCCAACGAGAGAGATCCTGAAGTTTTTCCTTCTAGGCCCAGAAGATCTCTGGTTCTGAGCTGAATAAAAAGATCTGCACTGGGGTGTAACTAATACAATAAGACAGGAGTGTTATATACCTTTTGTACTGTCTAATACAGGTTTTAGAGTTGTGTTTTTTTCCTGAAAAATATTTTTGTTTAAATTTGGATTTTTGGCCAAGCTATTTTACTGGAATGCCTTGTTTTAATATAGAACTGATTCAAATACTCAAGTGCAAATGCATATCTACTCATTGGTTAGGTTTCCTTCTTTAAAAAAAAAAATTCAGTGGCTGATACCACCAACTAGACTTAGGATTTCTCTCTCTTTCTCCTTCTCTTTTTTAAAAACAAAATCTGCTGTTTGGCATTTCTTCCCCCCTTTATTATTTCCCCCCTGTTTCCTTTGCCTGAGTTCTTTTTTGTAGCTAGATCTGACTTGCACTCTGCCTGATTTATTTTGGCAATGCAGTTAAAATGGTTTCTTTTTTCCACAGAAAATGTGTTTTGATTTCTTCTTAGAAGAATAAGCTTTTGTTCTTCAAAGTTAAATAAATCAAATTGCTTTCAGCCTCCAAATGCCACTGCCTTGTCTTCATTATCATTGGGCTTTTGCTTTTTAAAAATGATGCCATCGTAAGCATTCTCTCGCACATGTTTCTGATGTATCTTCCCCCCTTTCCAGTTTATGGTAGTATCTTATTGAAAACGTTGATTTGGTAAGTTTACAGAAAATATTTTTTATCAAAACAGAAATTCATCATATTAGATATCTCTGTTTTAAATCGTTTTATTATTGAAGCTATTCTATTAATTCTTATTTCGGTCATTTAGTTTAGTGATTAAGAGCTGAGTTTTAAGCTGCTTAGGTTTAATTTTTTTTTTTTTTTTTTTTTTTTTGCTGTTTTTGTTTTTTTTTTTTTTTTTTTTTTTTTTTTTTTTGCGGTACGCGGGCCTCTCACCATTGCGGCCTCTCTCGTTGCGGAGCACAGGCTCCGGACGCGCAGGCTCAGCGGCCATGGCTCACGGGCCCAGCCGCTCCGCGGCACGTGGGATCCTCCCGGACCGGGGCACGAACCCGCGACTCCTGCATCGGCAGGCGGACTCCCAACCACCGCGCCACCAGGGGAGCCCTGCTTAGGTTTAATTTTAA